CTTATCCATGAAATGGATGTAAACAGCTGATAAAAACCCCATCTGGTTCCTGTTTTCCAAGCGACCGTGTACCATTTTCAAAGTGTGTTAACTTGTGGGCTGTGATGTGCTCTGGGAGCAATGCTGTTACCATTTAATGTGTGGCCTCTTCGTTGGGTTTCTGTATTAGGATGACAGCCTGGTTTAAAGGTGGGCATGTTTGAGAGCAGCTATGTTTCCCAGAGAGCATACACAGGTCTTGTCACATCTCACTCATTTCTCTCAGGAATATGCCTCTACTGTGCGGAGGGTGTGGGCAGGAGGGTAGGTATAGGTTTGTGAGTATGTGGGCCATGGGGGAGGGTGTGTGTGTGTGGGATTTGTGGGTGGGTGGATAGGCGTGGGTGGGTGTAGGTTTTGTAGGGGGGCTATGAACGTGTGAGGGGAGGGTGGCTAGAGAGGGTTATGGCTTGTGTAGAGGGGGAGGGTTTGCCCATAGCCTGTCCCCTCCCCACCCATGCGGCAAGCAGAGCCCCTGCAGCGCTCCTGCAAGCCTGGTCTCTGCGTTTCTGTTGCTCCTGGAACTGGCGTGGGCCCCATACTCCCACTCGCTGCCACTTCCCCACCACCACCACCACACCCCGCCCCCCCCAGGCACTCCGGCACCATGTCCGAGATGCTCCTGCAGTTCCAGCATTGCACCTGGGAGCCATGTGATGCAGGAGCATTGGGGGAGGGGCAGGAAAATGACTGCAGCAGGCAGGGGGAAGGGGCAGCAAGCAGGTGCGTGGAGCACAGCAACAGTCGGGTGGGAGAGCAGGGCCCACACCGGTGCCCGGCTCGTGGGGCTCAGAGCTGGGTGGCAGGAATGCAGGTCTGGCATGCCAGGGACTCTGGAGCCGGGCTGAGTTGCTCAAGGAGGGAGCCACCCTGGCTTCACAGAGCCCCTGCCACCCCAGCCCCATGCTCCTGCTTCTCCGCTCTGGGGCCCACCAGCACTGGCCCCAGTGCACTGGTGCAGGCCTCGCACTTCAGCCTGGCTCTGTTTCATGTGCTGCCCCTTACCCCTGCCTGCCACAGCCATTTCCCCGCTCCTCCACCCACTGGCACCACATAGTTCCCAGCTGCAGCACTAGGACAGCAGGAGCAAGGCCAGCCCGGAGGACTGGGGTGATAGCCCAAGGTCCTTCCCTGCTTCCTTCCCCCCACTCCCCACCTCATCTGTATTTCCCTTGGTGTAGGGAGGCAGGAACAGTCCCTAGGCAGAGGCTTCCAGCTGGAGCTTGCAATGGAGGGGCTGAAGGGGAAGCGAGGCCAGGCCCGACTTGCTGCTGTGGCTGTTTAGTTCTGCCGCTGGCTCCCCCTGTGTCCTACTGCCTGTGGGTCCTGTCATCTTTGACAGGCAGCCAGGAGCAGATATATATTAATTTTCTAAATTCTTTACGGGCCCAGCAGGCTGAACAGAATGACCTGGTGGGCCAGATACAGCCCACGGGCTGCATTTTACCAGCCCCTATTCTAAAAGGAGAGAAAGGTTCTCAATAGTTTAAAATGAAGATGGCCTGAGTAACCAGTTACACCTCTGGCCACTTAAGGAAATTTTGATAATAGAGTCCTGATGAGTATCTGTTCTAGCTCTTGTTATGATTTCGAGTGAATTTTGCAGCATAATAGATGGGTAGAACAGATAGAAGATGAAGGCAGTTTGGAGCACCCTGATTGAGAGGCAATGTTCTAGAGAAGTAAGTCAGGAACATCCTTGCTGTTGTATCTTCTGGCAGTACAACCATTGTTCATTGAAATCAAAAGACATCTATACTTATGACTTGTAGGCTGTCTAGCACTTCCTGGCAGCAGTATAATATACAGAGGATGTTACATAAGAGCTACCAAATTCATGGACTCAAATGGATCATAAAAGTTGATGGGGGGGAAAAAAAAGCCTTCTAATGGTAAGCTGCTGGGCAGCAGTCCTGTACAATGTTTGAAGCCTCAGGGTGCAATTTGTAATAAAATGTCAGTAATAATTACGGGGTCTATGCCTGCTCTTCTGACCATGCCAGATTGTTTTCTAAGTTACTAGTTCTGTGTCCATTTCAAAAGCAAAACTCGTAGGCAAGGAGTCTTCCAATGGATACTATTCACCACTGATGTAATGCTGTCAGTATTAATTCATATAGCCAACCCACTCTTAATTCCATCACACAACTGGAACAGTGCAAACACCTTCTTGTTTATGCTTTTCCATTACTTCTAGGATTATCTCTACAAGTTGCACTTCCTAAAGTCGGTCTTTTAAGGACAATCTCATTATTGTGCTCCTTTTCTCTGAATTCCTTCTGATCAATCAACATATTTCTGATTATGAGATTCCTACAACAGAACACAATTTCTGCTGGGGTCACAATGGACCAAAAGAGTTTGCTCTCTGGTTATTGACAATAGGTCTCCGTGTATGCAGCCTCTAATTGCACTGGCCTTTTGTGGCAGTCATCACATTACATTGCAACATCCCATTTAATTGGACAGAATGCAAAGCATCCCAAGTCACCTTTGGCTTAACTGGCCTTGAAGTTTCTCCCTTCCCAATGAATATCTAGAATTGATATCATGTTCCCCTGCTGACAGATATTAGTTTGCATCTTTTGAAGTTGAATCTCACTGCGATTTTCTGCTTGCCAGTCTTATTCGCTTACATCCATTTCTATTATTACTCAGTCCTCTCCCATGCCTGTAGCTGCTGCTTATTTATTATAAGCTGTAAAGTTTGTTAGCATGCTTAGTTCCCCTTATAAATCCAAAAAGAAGGTATTTAATAACAGGCCTGACAAAGGTCCCCTCGACTCATCTCAGTACTTTGCTTTTTAACCATCACCATTTATATCTTGTCCATATACAGGGGATGTTTATGCCCCACTCTAAACAACACATACTGTATAAAAGTCCAAGTTCACCCTTCTCCTAGAGTTATTGTTTTACTGTTCAATTTTTTAAATAAAATTGTAGTCAGTTCCATAGCCAGTTGAACAATACCAGGAAAAGCAGTTCTGTAGAATCACTTCACTCCTCAGACAATTGGTCACAAACCACATATTTTTCTATCAACATTTTTGAACGAGGTCTCTCTCTAGCATAATTTACAAATTATACACATTATGGCTTGATTTGACTTCCATTTTGTGGCTATGTGAGAGTCACACATTCCCAGATGAAAGTATTAATCACCTTAAAAGCCCTGGATAAAGCTGAATAACAGACGACCAGATAATTTTCATTTGATTTTATTGATATTCATCCGTGAAGAAATTTAAGTTCTCTCTTTCTGACATGTTACAATCATTTTTTTTTCTGGCGGTTGGATACTTCCTACTGTCTCTTTAAAGGCTAAGTAATACTTCCCAATTGCATGATAAAGTTTAACATTTTAAATTCTCATATGGTATTGCTTTTTCTCTCTGGGTACATAAAATGGTCCATATAAGTCTATGATGTTTCAGAAACAATTGTTATTCTATCTACTGTTTTAGAATACATTCAAATAAAAAGATACTTAAAGTTACTTGCAATAAGTGCACGCATACAACAGCAAATAGAGCTGATGACATTTTACTAAAACATTTTTAAGTTCGTATAATAAATAGAAGTCTTCAAAACACATGCAGTATTTGGATCATGTGTTTTCTCTCAAAATATCCTTAGTGTCCATTGCACTACTCTAGTATCTACCTCATTCAAAAAAACAAAACAAAACCAGAAACAAAAACAAAACACACCCATCTCTTGTCAAAGACTAAAAGACAGTTCCATTTATATAATAAATGATCAGTGCTAATGATTTAGTAACAGTCTGGTACAAATGGCAATTCATGGCAGTTACAAGTAGTGCAGTATTGGTGGCAATAAACAAACTAGGTGCTTGAATTGCAAGGGGAAAAAAAAGTAGATGCCAGAAGTTTAAAAAACAAACAAACTAGAAGCTGAAAGACGGCCTTGCTTTGGCTATGAAGTCAGTAATTTTTTGTCCATTTTTATTTCAAGAGCTATCGAATCTTATTACAAGCACCTAAACATAGAATTGGGACAGGCAGGGAGGAATATTCCAACATACGTTAGGTTCTTCTGACCAAAATCCAAACTGTTCCTTCTAGCAAGGTTGGACCTGTAGGAAAACAGGTTTCTCTGAAAACACAGTGAAAGACAGACAGACTCTCACGCAGTTACAAAACCACTTAACATTTGTATATTCTTTATGTATAAAAACTGTAGAGAAAACAGGCAAACAGAAGCTCAGAAGTTGTTCTCTTTCACTTGTACCAATCTGCTACTAAATGCTTTTGTGGTTCTTCCCTGCATGGTATTTCACGGACACACCTTTTCCCAATACTGCTTAATATCGTTCTAAAAGAACACTATATTTTCCAATCCATTCAGCTACTTTGGCTCCCAGAATGAGGCTGCCATGTTTCCTTATGAATCATGAACACTACTCTTTTAGGGATAGTTTGCAAGGTGTGTTTCAGTGTTAGCAATGGAACATAATATAAAGCATTTTCCCTTCTACAGTCCAGTGCAGCATCAGGGGGGTGAAAAAAAGCCAACACAAAGTCACACAGAATATAGATGTGACAGGTGAAACAGCAGTAGTGGAAATGTATCATTGTTTCAGGCACCCAGCAGACCTGCTGACCTCGAAAACATGGTTATTTCAAGTTTTATGATGGGGGTGCGGTAGAAAACAATAGAAGTCTCATTAGGTCAGGCATGCATTCAAATAGCCCAACACCACAAATGCAAAATGTAAATAACAAATGCTGAACAGTGATTTTTAAAGCATTTAATGAAGTATAAATGCTCACAGGCGCCCTGTGTGCTGTTATTCAAAGTCTCAGGTATTAATCAATAATCCAGCAGCCTTGCTATGCTTTCCAACTGTCAAGTTAGCCTAGCTACAGAATTTCACTTTTCTAGTTAGGATTTTTTTGTCTCTTTTTTTCAGTGCATCTTTAAAAATAACCCTTTCAAAAGGTTAGCAAGTTAAACCCTCAGTACAGCAAATTGCAGTGTTAAGAACATTTTGCACTCAGTTGACAGTAAAATAATCCAATTAGTTACAATATATCAGATTCAAGTACATATTTACACATTGTACAAATTTACACGCTTCTCCCATTAGGCACAAAGTTGATTTGTCAAACTCAGGAGGCAATGGAAGAAAAAACAAAAAGGACTGGAAAAGGAGGATTCCTGGTATCTGTTTAAAAGACAAGCCATAAAAATTAATCCTTCACCGTAAACTAGTTTGCTTCGGTAGCTTGGCTCCCATGAGGATGCCTGAAGTGAGAGTTGCAGGGCCTTTCATCTGCATGCTGGAGCCCACCATAGTTGGGAAGCTCCGGTTCCTTCGAATGCCACTGTTCAGTTGAATGCCCCCAATGGCACTTGTTACAGCAGGGCAGCCCAAGGGTAGACCTTCTGGCGCTAGGCCTGTGGGAACAAAGGCCCTCACTGGTCCCTGTGCCCCACAGAGAAGAGGTCCCTGGTCATCGCTTAAGGAAGGAGCTTGTGATTGCCCCGAACTAACTACTTTGGCAATCCCGAACCGCTTCACTTTGTCCACAAGATTAAGGTTGGAGACAGACACATCAGTCTGACTCTCACTGTTCCTGATGTTCTTTTTATTTCTCACCTCCTTCAAAATGGAGCTGGCAGGTTTGGAAGCCAGGAAGTTGTCATAAGGTGGACTGGTGCACTTGAATTCAAAAGATGGAGGGGAGGAAGAGGGAGTCTGCATAGGGGAGTTTGGAGGAGTCGAAGGAATGATAGCCATTTTAGGAGAATACGTGGTCAGGAGAGTGCCCTTGCTAGCTCTGTCCCAGCTTTGTGGATTGTACACGGCTGCAGAGATCCCCCGTTCTTTAAGCAGCCACACCAGTCCCAAGGATGTGCTCATAGTAGTCGTTGATTCCCGGAGGTTAGTGAAGGATTCTGCCAAGCTTAAACGTCGAGGGGTGCACGGGGTGGCCACTGGTGTGCCTTTTAAATTGCTAACGCTGCCACAAGCTGGAGTAGGTGCTGCGTTAAGGCTGAAAATAAGAGAAGTTGAATTAATATCTTCTTAGAAATCACAATCTCTGTAACAATTTTAGAAGGTAAACGGGCCTTCCATTTCCAAGAACGCTTGAAAGATGGACCCAGAAATGTATCCTGTATACAGTTTACATGACTTGCAAATTCTGTACTAGCAGCCATTCTCCACGTGCAAAGCTTTAAACATTTGTCCAGGACAGCTGGATTAACAGTTTCCAAAATCCAAACAATCTCAGATAAATGGTCTTAAATAGTTTGGCATCTACAGGCTTTGCTCACTGACTGCAAGGGCCAAATAACTGACCCCAAAAATCCCAATTATTTCAATGAGATAAGGATTAAATAAATGAGAGTTTACTACCAGCTTCTAAAAGACTGAGATGTGGTTAAGAGCTACAACTTTGAACCTACTACACAAATGGCTACACTAATGCTTATGGCTCCAGCAATGCTGCCTTCACTGTATGACAGGCTACAAATGATGGGAAGCAGAACCTATAACACCAAGATTAGCTCAAGTGTAGCCTCTGTTCTAGCTGCTGCAGAAGTAGATGTAGCAAAGTGGCTGGAATTCAGCATTTTCATCGACATGCTTAGCTAGAATTATCCCCTTTGCATGTAGTGGAAAATGTGCAAAAAAAAAAAAAAACCATCGTGGCTTGATTTTTAGGAGGTGCTGAGCACTCACTGCCAGAGAAACTCCTACTAGAAACTCAGTACTTTTGGGGAGAACAGGTGGGAGGAAGGGACAGGGCAGGGAAAGAAAAAGGAAAAAAGAAAAAAAAAGCTATTCGCTACCAATTGCTTGTTAGTTGAGTAATGGACAACTTGGCAGGAAATTAAATATGCAAAGACTTATTTGTATAGCTGTGATCCAAGAGTGCTCCGCCTCCTCTTCACACCAAAATCAAAGCAACCTAGGCAATAGGCCAGAAGGTGGGAAATAAAAAGAAAAGCAGGAATGACTATACATTTCATATAAAAAAAATCTGTGGATTAAAAACCATGTACCCCATGGCACTAATTCTGGTGCACTTCTTCCTCAGCTGCCAAGCCCTATCCCATGAATGAGGACTGAACTCAACTTCCATCCCTAAAAAATTAACAGCACAGCAGTGACACGTTATATTTAGGTTCCTACGTGCTGAAATACCAATTCTTAAATTTACTGATGTTTACTTCAGCGTTAGACTCAGCCCTCTCCAGCTCCACTAAGCTCTTGCCATCTCAGAAGAAGTTTTAGGTAACTAAATAACTTTACCTCTGTACGAGCCTTACTCAAAACCTGAAGTCAAAAGAACTGCCTGCTTTGGTTATTTATCATCCAAGACATGGTAACATTGCAAATACAAACCTTCAACCAGGAGAATTTTAAAGTGACTCACAAACCTTAAAAAGTGATTTCCCAACCATTTTATGACTGCTGAATGCAGCCTCATTGGTCAGGTCTATGTGGGCAAAACTGGAGGTTTTAAGTCACATAGGCACAGTTTAACCTTTTTGTTTGAAAGATGTTGAACTGTATCCACAGAGACGGGCAGTGCCAGGGAGTGGAGTTCAGCTGAATTAAATTTAAAAGTTCTCATCTGCACTTGAGAGTCTATCAGAATAGCTATTCTGGTAAAACTCCACGTGGAGGCAAGCCCTATGGTAACAAACTTCATGCTCTTTGTGCCCAGAGAGACAAAACACTAGGATTTGCCATGATTAGAGTTTGTAGTGAGGTTTTAACACAAGTTAATAGATTGCTAATGGACTTAAACTAAATTAACACTACAGGCAAACCCCGCTTAGTGCTCTTAACTGGTTCGTGAAAAAAAAAGCGTTAAGTGAAACAAGTGTTGAGCCAAACCGAAAGTATTTGATGGCGACCACAACTGTTTTTAATGACCCATGATGGTGACCATGAGCATTATAACAAAACTCACTGAGCGCTAGGCGAAATCAGGTATCAATTTAAAATGAGTGTTATAGTGAAATAACGCTAAGCAAAACAGCGTTAAGCGGGGCTTGCCTGTACAAGTTTATACGTTCCATGAACTTTTCTTCTTAGATGCCTAAGAGTTGTGGTGCCACATGACCTAATGCTAAATAATGCCTATTTAGCATTAGGCAAGCAATTAACTCGAGTTAAAAAACAGGACCAGACACTTTAATCCTGACATGTCGCAGAGCATGACAGCTTTTTAACTGGTTTGGGCAAGAAATTTGTAAAGCACCAGTAATTCAAAGTCCTGCTCCTTCCCTGTGGCCAAGCACTTAAGTGAACAAACAGGGCCAGAGAAATTGTGTTGTGTACTGTCAGGAAACAGTACGTTCCCCGAGTAATGTATAGGAATTCTCCACACATATACAACAGATTCCCCGGCTGCAACAAATGTAACATACAGCCAAGTACCATTGAAAGGTTTATCAGCTTTAACATTCCAATTTGACTGCTCTCAGCTGCCTGGGAAATTGATTTCCTTGCACCCCCTGATGGCTTTTGCTGCAACCGAAACAGGCAAACAATTTTCTTCCATGCTCTCACAGGCTTGGGAACAGTGACAGGGGGAGGGCTCCTCATGGTAGCCAAGAAGGTAACACACGACCGCTGTAGCAGTGCACACACACACTTGGAAGGGAAGGCTGAGAACAAGGAGAGGTTAGTTAAGAATGTGTCTTTCTGCCACATACTGAAGCTGCATCTCGTATCTGATTAGTTGATAGTGGCAACAATAAAGAGCGATGGACAAAAAGACAGTCACAACAATATACTGCCTCACTTGGCTAAAAATAGGGGTATCCATGCAGTCCTAAAAAGCTGGGGGAGGTGAGGGGGCAGAGAAGGGAGAAGAAGGAGAAAGTTCACTTGTGAACTAATTTGTAAAGATTGGAACCAAAGACATTTTGGAAACTAGGGATGCCACTGATAATGGTCAAATTTAAGTGCTATACAAATAAAACATACCAAAGAACATCCATAAAAATCTTTCTGGCCTTCCTGGATAACCATAGGTACCAAGTCTGTGGGTGCTCAAGGGCTCAAACATCCACCAAAAAAATTAGCAGGTGCTCAGCACCCATGAGCCACAGCTGTTTTGGTTTTAGGTATTAAATCTCTGTGGCTGCTTGCAGATGTTAAAAAAAAAAAAGGCAAAAAACCCCCCAAAAACTCACTTTACTGGAAGCAGCAGCACATTACTTCAATCCGACTCTGCAGCATCTGCAAAGATTGAGTGCTTATGCAGGGCTTCTTGGTGCTTTTAGCTAAAACTGAGTCAATCATCTATTAGATAATAGCAACAAAAAAGGCCCACTAAAGCACCCTGTCTTTATAGGCATTGGGCGAGCTGGGTTGAAGTAACGTCCTGCCTCTTCCGGGCATGTGCAGTGCTCGGCTATCCCCTTCCCCCAGGAAGAAAAAAGAACCCACCAGCAAAAAGCAAAGTCAGCCCCGATATGAATGACTCTCTTTCCCCCTCTTTCCAACTCCCCGCTTTATTTTATTTTACTGTAACAGAGGTCATCATTTCTGCTACTTTGCCAGCATAGATATACACTGAAGTCCAGAAGGGTATGAAAAGAACTGTTACAGTGGTATTATATTCCTGTATCACCTTAACTGGAAGGACTTTTCCCACCAAAATGAACTGCTTCAAGGCAGCCCAAATACACCCACAGGAAATAAAACAAAAGTAGACCAAAAATTGGCCTAAGTACCTCAACCTAGTGACAGCGCCAGGGTTAGGTTTAAGAAGATCAGCACCTTGCTTTGCTATATGAAATTTAGTCTGGTTAGAATGTAACCTGTGTTAGGATGTTAGGTTGAAATGCAACCGGTGGGGTAAATATCTAAGCTGTTTGGGTTAGCTGGTGCCACACACACTAGCATTCCTTCTACATGACCCTGCCAGCACAGAAACTGCTGGCAGTATTGCTCACCCCCTGCCACGCTGGGTCATAGTGTCTGCCCTATATCTCCTCTCAGCATAACGTGACATAATGCAGTTTCATCGTCCTCCTCACATGACCTGTGAAGAATCATTTATAGTTTAAGGAGTTCCCCCTCACCAAACACCTCTGTTGATATCAATCACGTGTTTGTGACTATGTTACATACTGGGGTACAAGTACCCCTGAGGATGGACTAAAATGAAGCTGAATTTAGTTCCCAGTTACAGCGAAATGGAAGTTTAGCAGCCAATGCAACCTCAGGGAGATAATTATGGACATAATGGAGAGCACTTCTACATTGTCTACATTCTAAAAAGAGGAGCTGCAGCAAAATAGAAGTACCTTATTTAAGTAGGGGTACTAGAAGGGAAAAGTAACACCTTGCCTCTTTATTTATACACCCTGGGGATGAATGCATAAACAGTCAGATCTGCCATCATATACTTGCACTTCTTTTCTAAATACTCATGCTCTACCATGTGTTCGCAGTTAGCCATCATTTATCAAATGCCCCAAATATAGGTCACATGCATTCAGCACCAGTTTGGTTCCCAAGCAATATCCTTCATTAATTTAGATCTTTGAAATAAAACCTGAATAAGGAAACATCAAGTGCTCTCCCTTGTGGAGACTGGCAAAAGCTGAAGATGGTGGAAGTGGAAGGATACTGGGTGTAAGCCTGCTATAACTGGGAAAAAAAGTGATGGCACAAGCTGGGCCTCCAACTTGTTATGAAGGTATGCCATGAGGTCCAATTCTTTAATTTTCCTTGATAATCAAATCCTTACTCCTTCTACAAAGACTAATCCTGTGCCTATCGGTTACCTCTGTTATAGAGCAGCCTGCTGAACAGTGACTAGACTGAGTCATCTCTTCGTTTCAGATAGTTACACTGATATATAGCAGGCAGCTCTCGTCACGCTTTTAAGCCTGCATCAAATTGAACAGAGAATCAAAAAACATCCCTGCTTTTGAGCAAAACCCTTCCTTCGCTCAATCCAGATATTGCCAAATCATGTTCCAGAGATTGTGATGTCTCTGGAGCTGCTAAAATTTACTCCTGCCTGTTCTTGCCCCTGTGTATCAAATGGCAGATATTTTCAAATGCTTTCCCCAGCAAGGAGACCGCCACTCTCCAGCTCTTCTCTTTTTGCTTAAATGATTAGTCCCTCAATCCTCTGTATGGGTGAAATTCACCCCTGTAGAACAAGAGAAAAATACTACATAAAAAGCAATTTTGAGGGCTTATATGGAAACCAAGGTCTCATGCTGGTGCTCTGCATGACAGCTAGTTTCACTGTGTGTAAACACACAAACTTGATACATCCAGTTGATGTTCAGGTGCAGTGTGGGAAGCCCCTGGTTAAAATACTGTAGCAAATCAATGTAAATCTACACCTCCCCCATTGTGATCCAGTTTTGCCAAAGAAACAAGTCCCACACGTGCTCTTGCATCAAATGCAAAACTTGTTTAGTCACTTTTTGGAACAAACTTATGGATGCTCTTAGGATCTTCAGCTCAGGCAGAATCCTGAGAGCAGCCATGGACAACAGGCACCGCTAATAGCAATCACTAGACATTTTTTTTCAGTCAGTTATATGTGCATAGTAGGAGTAAATGAACAGGGTTTGTTACTTGGTAGCTGTCCTGGGTTGCAGCAGAAATGAGGTGGGTGCATTGTTCTTCATTTCTGATTCTTCCCCACATTTGAGCTACAAAACATAGATGCTAAAATCTCTCTTATTGGCTTACCAAAGCTAAATGCTCCACATATCCCTCTTAAAATTGGTTGAGATTTAGTAGAGAGTGTAAAGGGAGAAGAACACTTTGGAGATGTGTTATAATTCTCTCCACTCCCAGAAAGGATAATCACCATTGTTACTTCTTTCCTTATACCAGGGATTGGAAGCAAAAGCTTGCTAACCCCTGGCTTACACCGTGACTTATTTCATCTCTCTAGGGGACTGTGACAAATCCTTGAACTCCTTTGGTGCCTCTAAAAGCCCTTACCTTGGAGTGACTCGGGTGAGCTCATCGGAGGGGTGCAGAATGCGGCAGGTGGTGAAGGTGAAGGTGGAGTTGGTTTGTGACATGCACTTCCCAGGATGATGTACTAAATTAAAAAAAAAAAAAAAAAGCAAATTCTTTGCATTTATACATAAAAGGAAAATAAAAAGGTCTGTGCGCTCATAAACAGATGCAAAAAGTGATGTGGTACCTGGACTGGATCAGTGCAAGGAAGGCAAACACACAAGCTCACCGGGTTATTGCAACTGGGAATCATTCTGCAAAGAGACAGTGAGCCAAGCTGGCCTGAAGTCAAGTAGGAAGCAGAGTAGAATTGCACCTTATAGACTAACCGAAGTAGATACAGACATATATCTACTTTGGTATAGTAGATTTCATAGACATCAGGGCTGGAAGGGACCTTGCAAGATCATCAGGTCCAGCCCCCTGCCCAAGGGGCAGGAAGTCAGCTACGGTCAAAGGATCCCAGCAAGATAAGCATCCAAATGTTTCTTAAAAGAGTCCAGAGTAGGTGCTTCCACCACATCTGGGGGGAGTCTATTCCAGGCCTTGGGGGCTCAGACAGTAAAGAAGTTTTTCCTTATATCCAACCTAAAACAGTCTTGGAGGAATTTGTGACCATTGGACCTCGTCATCCCTTGGGGTGCTCTGGTGAACAGGTATTCCCCCAGGTTCTGACGCATACCCCTTAAGTACTTACAGGCAGCCACCAAATCACTCCTGAGCCTTTGCTTCTCCAGGCTGAAAAGTTCCATGGCTCTCAGTCTCTCCTCATAAGGCCTGATCTCTTGCCCTCTGATCATGCGCGTGGCTGTCCTTTGGACTCTCTCAAGCTTCTACACATCCATTTTGAATTATGGAGCCCAGAACTGGATGCAGTACTCCAGTTGTGACCTCACCAAGGCTGAGTACAGTGGCAGGATGACATCTTGGGACTTGCTCAAGAAGCATCGATGAATGCAAGCCAGAGTTTTGTTCACTTTACCGACTACTCTATCACATTAGATGCTTATGCTCATCTTGTGGTCAATCATAACCCCTAAGTCTCTTTCAGCCGTGGTGCTAGTGAGTGTAACACTGCCAAGCCTATAAGTGATGCGGGTTTCTTCCCCCCCGCCTCCCCCCACAAGGTGGAGCACCTTGCTCCTTGCATACTTTGATTAGTTTATAAGGTGCAAATCTATCCTGCCTTCTACTAATTCTGCAGACCAGCATCCATAAATCTAGGACTTTGTTGCCTACACTTAAATATTTATTCAGTTTCCTACCATTGCTATCTCCAGTTCACCAGTGCTCTCAAATTGTGCTCAGTACAGATCTAGGTGACAACATACTTAAAATGGTAGAAGCCCAACAGACCCCTTGGTCTACAGCAAAAACTCAGAGGAAAAATGTAGCAAAAAGTTTGCCTGCATGGGCAAGGCCTAAAAGAATTAAATCCTGAAGACTTGTGCATTTCAGCCTTCCTACCAATCCAGGCCAAAGGTATCTCATTATCTTTTATGTCAGTAATGGATCCAGCTATTCTCTGCAAGCTAAAGATACAGAAACATTATTTGGAAAGCTCTGGGATCTGTATATACTGTAAGTTATCATCAACTTTTTACCCTTTCACATCCATAAAGAATATCATTAAAAATTTTTGGATCCACTACTGTACATCTGTGACATGTACTCCACTACTGTACTCCCATGCGTCCCAAAGACAGAATGACCTCAGCTGCAGAATATAGCAATTTTGAGCATTCAGAATGTGCGCTATGATGAGTGTGGCCAAACATTTTTGGTACTTCCAATGGTTAATTTCATTAAAAAAATTATATCCTGGGGACAAGTTAAAGATGGGGTGATACGATTTATAGTAAATAATTAAGCACTCAAGCCAGTGATCTTACGAGAAGAAATTTGGTAGGTTTTTTTTTTCTTTAAATAATTGCTATAAAGTGCAGCTGTGGAATATAGTTCTTTGCAATGTAATTAGAAAGTTTAAGAGCCATGCAACTGAAAAGCTTGTTGAAGAACACAAAATAAGTTAAAGTACTACATCAAAGATATCATGATTGCATAGGTTCTTCTACTTCATAACTGAGCTTCTAAAAATAGTGGTGATCAAAACAACATGCACAGTAAAACACGCGTGTGATTTTCCCACCCTATCACCCCCTCCCCAACCCCATGACACATTCCCCGAGTAGGTCACATGTTAATATTGCAGTATGCGACTACTCCACAGTTTGCACTGGCCAGACACACCATTCAGAACTTCCAGAGTGCTCAGCAATATGTAAAGCAAGTTTGAATTGTTGTTGTATTTCCCTTCTTCATGTGACAGTCAAGCAGTCCTTAAAGACTATGGGAAAGCAACAGGTGCAAGAGGAAAAAAGCAGGGAGTGGAAACGGAAGGAAGTTTCTAAGCATGTGACAAGTGATCACCAAGGAGCCGACTTCTCCATCCATTTAACAACAGAACACATTGCTGCATATTAAGGGAAGACTCTGGTATGTTTGTGATTAAATACACTGGAGTAGTATGTAAGCAAGCTTGACTGTTAGTACAATATTTAAGAAAAGCAACTACTTCACCTCCAGACATGATCCTTGACAGAATCCAGTTGCTTTAGGAGATTAGTGTAAACCATGTAAATAGCTACTATATAAGGAAGCAAAGCCTAGCAATCATGATTCTCTGCACACTATAGAGATAAAATAAAAACTAAAAAAGGATCTCAAATAACTGGACATGAAAAGTTATTTGGACAAAACAAAGGATTTGAACATAATCAAGTTGAAACAAAGCAGGTCTTGCTAGATGATGGAAGAGAACAGAACAAAGCAATGCTGATTTTAGATTATGAGCTCACCCCAATTATGCACATGGCTATGATATGATAATTGTATTCCCCTCCCTACTGATTGCAACATCCACTGTAGCAGACATCAGTTGCACTTTCCCCGCAGATTTGAAATGGGCACAGTGAAGATATATAGTTGCATTAGCAAAAGCAAAGCTCATTGTCATTAGTCTGTGAGATAGGAAAAGGCTGCTAAAAGTACAGAAGTCATTGACCCCAGCAATAAGGAACAAATTTGAATGATCAGTGACATCAATTTCCAAAGCCACATTTTCAATCCTCAAAATACCACTAAGAAAATTTGAACCAGCCTTATATCCTCCATCAGTCAGAGAAGTCTATCATTTGGCTGTCGCATTTTCCATCCTTTGAATGAAATATGAAGAGAGAGTAAGGACCCATTATTGCAAAACAACATGAAGAAAATGAAAGCCAGAGGTTTACCCCAGGCTAAATTATCCTACAGAAGAATGGACAGGTGTTGAGGTGGTAGAAATTCATGTGGAAAATAATGGAATTATGTAGGACTTACAACACCTAAGGATCTAGATTCCAATACTTCTTTAAAAAACTTTTCTGTAGATGTCATTAAATGAACAAAAAAACCCTGCAGCCATAGCCAAGGGGAAAATCTCTCTCCAGTCTGTAGTGCTAATCTCCTACCCGTTCCATAGGATAGATCCATAATTTTGATTTTATCCTAAGAATTCTGACTCATTCTGTTTCACATAGATTTCACTGGGACATCGACTTGTGTCCCTGAATATAACTATTTGTCTCATTTTCATTCCATTTCTTTTGGAAGTTCAATTCACAGCTAAAATTCATATTGGGAGGAAAACTGAGAAACTGAAAAATGCAATTTGTTTTACAAAGAGAGAGTCAGAAAATTCTCTTTAAAACTAATATTTCACACATGCAAACACCAAGCCAACTCTTTGCCTCAAAGTTTGGATACGTTTTCTCCTCGGTAACTTAAAACAAAAGGATGCAACTTTGCAGTACTGCTTTGAATCTTGATAGTTATAATTTTAAAATCTTTGTTTTTCCTAAAAAATGTTGAAAAGGGAATTACATCTGATAATTAGCTATTGTATTCTTGCCTAAAAACATTCCAAGATCAAAACTAACTTACTAAATATACACATGCTACAGTGTTTTGCAACTACAGTAGGTATGTACCAGTGAGGACATACCTTTTTTTTGGTCCGACTCCTGATCTCCATTATGCTAAGGTTATTTATGTGTGTGAGGTTGCATTGAGCCAAACGCATCAGACAATCTTGAACTGTAAGCTACTTGTTTGTCAAACCCATAGTCCTTCAGAAACAATTACAGTACTGGAATACAACTCAGCTGGGAAGGCACAAAGACTTCAAGGGAGGCAGAGACCATGTTCACTTGTATTTTGCCTTTAACTCGAGAATATACCATTTGGTCCAGAATTTCTTCTTTGGGCTTCTATTGATGAATGGATCTAGTCATTGGCTGGAGGGGGAGGCTCCTATCTCTGGCTGTTTTTCTTCAGAAAGAGTTTTAAACTTACAGAGTCTAAAGACAGTCATTCTTAATCAGGGTGCTATGAGACCCTTTTAAGGGTGCCTCAGGGTGCCATACAATATTAGCACCATTAAGTGTGCAAACACCTACAAAATTCACAAGGTGAAGAGATTTAAATTGGGAATCCAGAGCATCAAAAACATTCTGAGCTGCTGTGCTCCGAGTTCTTTGTAACAGAAGAATTGCCCTATTATTTTTCTGTAATCTATGAAGTAGTGATGGATACAAGAAACAGCATATAGGGGCCCTGCATCCAGCACTACTGTGTACCAACATCCATGATGCACAGAGCCCTCCAAAAGTGCCTGCATGTAGGCTTTCTGGGAAAAAAAACATTTACAGTGTCATCACACAGCAGAGCAGAATGGATGTTTTCAGGGTACTTTCTAAACTCAGTACGACTCCCCCAGGCAATGGAAGATGGAAGCTTTGACACAAGAAAGAGAAAAGGGCCTCTGAGGGCTTACCTTCTCAATTGCTGGTGAAAGCCTGTGGTTTCCAGATGATGTCACAGAAAAACCAGAGATTCATAGACTGAAAACTTTTGGAAGGTGCAACAGGGACAAAATGGACCAGGCTGGAGTTTACAATGGTGCATAAGATGATATGCAAATATTTGACATCCCCTTAAGCATATTTTGCATTATAAACTAAAATAAATTTTATGGTAAAA